GCTGTTGGTTGGTTGGTTTTGCCATTAATACGGATCGAAAAGCTTGATGTACAAAGGCTGGAGGGTAGTTGTTGTGCAAGCAGAATACTTTCTTGATGTATTGTAATTCTTGTTGAAAGTATTCTGGAAAGGCATCATACCAAATCAAGAAGATCCTGAAAAAGTCAGTCGGCATTGAAACAGTGTTCTCTGGCAACTCAACGCTTAAGGATTTGCTCAGAGCCAGTGGTAAATTGAATCCCTCCAACAACCAAAAACCTAAGGGATGTGTCTACCAAGTTGAGTGCTCCTGTGGAAGCTCGTATATAGGGGAAACAAAGAGACCCCTTGATGTTCGACTCAAAGACCATCAAGACAAGCCCGGCAATGAAGGAACATCTGCTGTGGCTGAACATCTTGCTATGGGAAGGAAAACAGGACATAAAGTCAACTTTGACAACACCAACATACTGACAATCAATAAGCACATAGATAAAACCAGGAGACTTCATGAAGCTATCCACATCAGAAGATATCAGCCTGACCTTAACAGAGATGAAGGTGTTCGTTTATCGCATGCATATGATAAACTTATCAACTTGTAATTATTCATATTCAAAAACAATTTCCAACTTTAAGCATAGTTAGTTATATGAACAATGTAATTTCTATTAATAAAAGACTCCAATACCAGCAATAGTTGTTTATTTAATCTTCAATTAATCTTTTTTAATTCATTTACTTTACTTCAATTATTTTACTTAATCAGCCTGTATGTTATTTTAAGAATTATATACCTCTTATTGTACCTATTAAAATTTAATGTAATGTATCAATAAACCATTTTCTCTTGTGTGTTCTTAATAATAAGCATTAATGTATATATAGTTTGCCCATCACTTCTTCTCATTATGTGCCTGAGGACGACGGGGGAAACACGTCGAAACGTTGCATAAAACTTTAACCAGTGATTGTTGTTCCATAAAGCTGTGTCTATATATATAAATATGATTTCAAAAACGTCTCTGGGGTAAAACTCTAAAGAATGCAGACAGCCCTATTTTCACTTTTTGTCATGTCTGTATCACAGTTGAGTGGTGATTTTAATGAATACCTTCAGTTATGTTTTTGAGCGAAATGTAAACTAAGGCATCGCTGTAATTGCGATTCTATCTGTGGGTAAAAATTCACTAGAATTGAAAACAGTAAGTTCTTCAAAGATTGTAAACCTTGCATGGATTAAGAACTAAATATGTATGTGTTAGAGTGGAGGAGGGGGTGTGGGTCAGTTTCATAAAACAGAATTATGAATTAGTGAATTTTGGTTTTAGAATTATGTCAAAAAAAAGAGAGTAATGTTTTATGAACTCCATTTGGTAAATTTTCATAATATTTCTAAATTCATTTTTAATTGGATATTCCAAAATATTTCAAGTATATTCATGCATACTCCCAATTATCAAAGTTTTTAGACTCCATAATTGAAAACAATTACATTGGTTTTATTGACAATTCATTCAAATTGAAAAAAATATAACTTCTGGTGCACTTGGTGGGTATATGCATCATTCTTCGTTACAAAGTGGATAACAGTATAACACGTATTATATAATTAGAGGATATAATAAAATAATTGTCTTGTAACTGAAACTATGCTGAAACTCTGGCTGGCGATCATAGGCTACGTTAATTGTAGTCCGTTACAAAAGCTGTAATGAATAAAAGTAAATGAGTCAAACGTTCTCTTTTTCTCAATTTTTTTTTCGGAACATTATATAAATATTGTAGAATTATTCAAAATATAATATATGACACAGCTTCTGTCTGCATTATCATTGTTGTTGATTCAGCAACATTTTACAGTTCTTGTCGTGTTGGTTTAATCTCACCCTTCGGCTTAGAAAATTGTCCCCAAAAGAGAACCATATTGGTTCGATTATCGTGAATAAAGAAAATGAAGGGGTGATCTGCTCTGAAAACCCTTGGAATTTGTATGGACCTAGTCATAATGACTGCTGCTGTAGCAGCTGCAGCCTCTGTTCCCTCCTCGTTCACTTCGACGAAGGCTTTATGGAATGCATCGGAGACATACAAATCCTTGTTCCCATTGATGCCTGAAAGATCTGCCTTATTCATATCAAATGTATCTTTAATGCCCAAATCGATCAAAATGGTTTTCAAATCTAGATCGGATTCTAATGAAAATTTTGGAATCATGACATCAACCTTTGTTGGATACACAGATCTCATCAATTGTACCAGATGCTCGTCTGTCAACTGCTCCGTCAAAGCAGAAACTCCATCAACTTTTCGTGGTAAAATAAAGAACATGCTTAAATCTTTTTTGACGTAGGGCAATTCCAAGATTTCACTATTCAATGCCTTATAAAACCCAAATTTAAGCTTCTTATTCATGGTCATCATTTTCGTCATCACGTGGTGGGAAGAGCCTACGTGAAACTGATCATCAACTGTGTCGCTAACCTCGAATTTGTTCTCCCAATCGCCTTTGAAATATATAGCATTCGCTAAAACCATAGCAGTCAAACCGTTTAGAACTCCAGATGGGATTAAATCTTTTATCTTAGAATTGGTTTCTCCTTCCACCCAAGCGTTTATTTTTTCTCGCTCTCCTTCGGGATTTCTACCAAAATCACATTTCTCAGCAGTTGATTTGTATGTTGCCTTTAAAGTATCGAGGTAGCTGTCAAGAAACTCGAATTTATTGTGGATGAACATTTTGTTAGCGGCAGATAAGGAATAAGTTGAGTCTTTCTGATGAAGCATTTCTAAATATTTTCCAAATGATGCATGAATCTCATCAGACTCAAAACGCAAAACATTTTCAATTTCTTTCTTTGAATTATTCCTGGAACCAACATGAAGCATCGCCATCACTGTTTGGATACTAAATGGTGACATGAACAAATTTTCATTCTTTTTGGAAGAAGCCACAGTTTTTAAGAGGTCAATACCAAATTTCATGTTACTTTTCGACAAATCCTCCATATTTTCAACTTCAAGGGACAGAACTTTATCACGAACAACTATATAAATATATAAAAATATCACAGTCAGCGCCGGGATTTGAAATCGTGTAACAGTTTTTGCCAAGGAAAGGAGCATAATACCACTTTTACAGCATGGTGTACTCTGTAAGAAAAGAAAATTATTCTGTCAAATTAAAAGTTTAATCCTAAGATATAAAATTTGAACATCTGAATCACTGTACGAATCACACAAAGATGTCATTAATAATAAGATCTAAAAAACAAAATATGTTATTATAAATTGCCACATGTCTTATTCAGAGCAATAACACAAGATATTGTTATAGAGTAATATACCAAACGGTCTCCCCATCTATTCTGAAAGCTAAGCAATTGTTTTGATACGTATATTTTGATTTGTATACGATTATGTTCTAATTCGGCATTCATCTAATACAGATTATATAATATCAGCCCTAACAAATAATCTAATTCCGAAGTCGTTGTGTCGTCGAAAAACCAATACTACAAATGATGAAAAGTCTACAAGATGGCTATAAAAATACAGAACTATTTCTTATATAGGTCTAGTTTATCCCTTTGACAGCCTCCTGAACTGAAATATCACGTCAACAGTTTAAACTCTATATTTATAACATATCATTTCGGCTATTGTTGTATCAAAATCAACAATTCAAATTGTATGATATATCTTTATAATAAAACATACTAGAATCTATTGAAACGTGACCGTTAATCTACATCACATCTTCATTAGGGCTATACTGACTCATAGTCACAGGTCGAGTAAACAAAGGTGTGAAGGCGTAAACGTAAATATAGGCCTACGTTGAGAAATGCATACCTTAATCAATAAGATGTTTAAAGTGGTAATATTACTATATAGCCTACCAGTACCATCTACTAACTTATTCATGAGGATTGAAGAGTGAAGAAGAGACGAGTAGGGCAATCATCTTAAACATCCCCACCATTTCGAACAGGGTTACAAATCAAGACACAAATTTCACAGAGCTCATATTTAAATGACTTTGTATAAACGTACTCAGGAGGATTAGAAATTGTGTGGGGCGTTCACCTTATATTGTTTTTCATATATCCCCGCGCGCTCATCTAAAAAGGTTACAAATCAATTATATACAGTAGCTTACATCAACAAAATAAAAATCTACCACACTCCCATTCTAGTGGTGTCAATCCGTTTAAAAACAACAACGGAAAGGGGCGAATACAGGTTTGTGGTTTGTTTGTATATCTTACTTAAATACTTATTTAACTGTGGTCTGCATTTTTCTTCACTTGAAACACCCTTCTCATATTTATCCTACGATTATGATGGAATTTTTCCCCGACAGCATAGTATTTAATTTCAATGGTATTCGGATAAGAATAGTTCAAATAATCACAACCAAATGAATCTTCAATACAGAAAAAATTAGAGGAAAATGCTTCTTAACTTACACAAAATACCTTTAATCTTGAGAAACGTACTTAACCAACTAAACTTTGTTTTGAAGAGAGTTATTTTTTCCTGATTTTGAGTCAGTTCGTTTATCTCCCATTATAAATGTTTTCGTTTCATTCTGTTTAGTTGTACTATCCAATCTTCATTTGAAACCTGATGCTACCTTATCTCAGTAAAAGCTTTACTTATCCACGTCATTTATAATTATATAAATAAGATAAAATATCAGTCAACTAGCGATCTTATCTTAATCTAGGCTTAAATTAAACTGAATTCAACATATATCTAGTTATTTGGAGGGATTCAAGACAAACCACTATGAAAGTCTTAGTTGTATTTTTACTCTTTGGAGCCAGGTAATATTAATTTAAATTGAATATTGAGAAGCTTATTAAATTGCCCATGGATATAAAAAAAAATCCAATAACGGATTTGAAAGATCTGTGCTGTACTTCGGACCCTTTTTCCAAAACGTCAAAACGCTTACAAATTGATGATTCCGTCGACCGTCGCACTGGACGAAGAGAAGGTTTTGGATTATGACTCATATTTTATATTCTTTAATACATGCAAATCTGTTTTCAGCTTTGGTAAATATCCTCGTCAGATTACAGCTCCAGAATTCTTAGATCACTATATTTCTGGAAGTAGTTTGGCATATTCTATTAACCACGAGAAATGTAAAGAATACCCAAACGTTAACAACATTACCCTTTACTCGTTTACCAGCGATATACTGTACGGTTATGTCACAGTTCATCCCTCAAAGAAATGGTTATTCTCGTACGGTTTTGATCAAGAAGTGGATGGAAAGCACTTAAACTTATCTGGTAAGTTAGATATAATTACTCAATCATTAGTATTGTCATGATGGTCTTTTAGGTGCAAGGAATATTCAAATGGCAAACAAGATTCTTCAAATGAACATTTTATAGTGTATCGCCCTCTGATCTATGAAGTGCTATAATACCGTTGGTCGTGAGATATTTTACATGTTATTAATGATGGGTTCCCTTATTTTGATTTATACAAACGAAAATACTAATTATTATATGAATAGAAAGTGTTCTAATGACTTGGAAAAATGCCAGTTTGTCTCACATGGCCATAATAAATTCATAAAAAATAATTACCAGCAGAATTCCAATGAGTGACCGATCAAGAAAGGTCAAAAAGTCTGTTTTTGTTTATTCAGACTGTACATACATGGACATTTATGAGTGCAAGCTTAAAACTCTTAATTATATGCAAAATGAACATAATGATATGATTAAGAATACATGATAATTCATAAGAAACACCAATTAATAAAATAGTTTGTTTAATTTGACACTAAAAAATAAGGAAACCCATCTTTAAAGGGTTGGGATATTGTACCTTCCACAGATTATGAAGCTACTTTTACCTCCAATTAAGTGTCCTAATTTAATATGGTGATGATCGACGGAAAATTGCTAAGATTAAGATATGGAATTGTTTCCAGTTCAGCACTGGACCACTCTCCTTGGCCTTTGGATTCAGAAAAGCTGTTCGGATGAACTGGTAATCTGGGGCGTTTTGGTGTTTAGATGGTGATGCCCATAGCTTATAACTGTCAAAATAATAATTTGACTTGTGCGAAATTTCGCTTCTGTTCCTCGCTGAATTCACTGACTTTGAGCATTATTTTAGGTCCAGCTTTACGTTATACTGGATTTACCTTAGATGATTCTGGAGATGATGCTATTATTGGACTGAATGATGTCAACCCGAAATTCTACAAATCCTTGGCGCGAGCACAAATGTATTGCAGCGTTTCACAGTAAGACATTTCTAAAACTAAACAGCTATAGACCCACAAAATCAACAGGAATAGTCGGCGTGCAAATAAGTTTTCAGAAGATATTAATTCATCAAAAGGCATTGAAGTATTGCATACTTTTACTTCGTCTAGATAGTCTTCACACTATAAGTTGCGAGTAGTAAAAATAACTGGAAGGCTTAAAGCTTTTCACAATATCATTTCCAGATTAAATTGAATAAACATTGTAAACTGTAACCTTGAAATACAGCCCAAATTTGAATTTTTACCAAGAAATGCATGCATTGCCATATGTTATAACTGTTTCAGAGGACTAACATTAACTGCAAGAACACCAAAAGGAGTACCATTAACCACCTTCAACGACATAAGGAACGCTATTAAGGCGGAATCAATTTTATATTATGCGTTTGATTACTATCAATGTTCACCCAAAACACTTCCGAACTCTTCACAGTGGTTTGCTGGAAGAATTTTTGGTAAGCACAAATTTTGTTTGAGAAGTTGCAACTAACATCCATGCTAACATTATTTTTCAGAGCAGAGCATTGTGCTACCTAAACCCTAAGCTAACATATTGAAAATTTTTACGCTCTATGGACTAAGTTCTGCGGTAATTAACACTCCATCGAAACATAAAATGGAGGTTCAAATAAGGATGCAAAAAATTTTTAATGACACCGCCTGTGTTTCTGGGATTTTCAATTCACCATCCCTTTTGGAGAATCCGAATAGTTCATATTGATTTTTAGTAATGTTTACCTTCAGTTTATGTAGAGTACATTTCATCTTATTGAATATAAGTTGTTGAACTATCATTAATCCTGTTCACTTGATAAAAGTTACAATACCTTTTGTTCTTGATTGAGTCAGTCATATGGATATTGTTAACTGAAGAAAACTTGTAAACTTAGAACCCAAACTAGAGATAAAGGCAAAACACAATTCCCAAACATGTGGGAAGCACCTTCAATTTTGTCAAATCGTCATGGCCCCACTTAATTGTATTAAAAATTAGCAACATAAAAACTCACATGCCACTTTGGAGGTTTTCTGTGGCATTTTCAGATCGTTAGATAAGGGTATAGTGAGAAACTCTTTCTTATACACCACTTATCTCAATATTTCTTATTTTACAGGAACACGAATGTCACCAAAGGGCAAAATAGTATTTTCCTCAAGAACTGTTAGTTTGGGTTTCGTCACAGTTTTACAGGTACAAATATCAGATACAGGTAGTGTACAACTAAAAGGGTACACGTACCAACAATCTACCAAGGTAGCTCGATACTTAACAACCAAAACATGCAATCTGGCTAAAAACAATTTTAGAATATTTAAGCAATAAAATGATTGAAAACAACAGTCTTTTGGGTTATATTTTATTTTCACACAAAATATTAATAACATTTATAGAACAGCTTAAATGAATATTTGAGTACTATATTTGTGTGACTACCATGGAAAAGGCCAGTTTTAGTATTTGCTGGATAATTTTCGAATTTATAGGCTACATATTTTTAGTGGGTATTCTAATGTGGTAAACATTTGAAGATCTGAAGCTGAGTGAATTAGATTTGATTGTTTTTGTAGGACAACATGTTAAATGCGACTCCTGACTAATAGAATTCTATCTAAGAATATTTACGACTGAGAATGTGATATCGTCCATCTTTCGAAGATCATAATATGCCAGCACAATCCTTGCATTGTGGACGCTATCAGCTTATTTCAAGAAACTATGGAAATTGAGTTATTTCCCATTATCTATTGCCACCTAAATGACAAAATAAAGCGTTAGTCTCGAAACCGGTTACACGGTACTTCCATACTACATGTTACAGATTGGCTGTGATCGATTGACGTTTCAACGCATCTTCTCAGATCCGCCGCAGTCGACATGCGAAACGCTCACGCCGAGAGGTTTACCAATTACTCGTATCTGAATAATTGAAGGGGACACGATCCAATTTTTGAAAGTAGAAGTTTGTTACCAGCGATTTAACAATTTCGGTCAAATCAAATAAATGACAAATGAAATTGGGTTATAGGGATTTCTATTCTACTTTGGGTTCAGCTCGATTGCGAATATTCGACGAATAAGTCCACTATTTATTAACAATTTGCTTTTAATTGTCAGTTCGTGGTTAATCAAAGGAGTATAGTCCAGAAATTTTAACAACTGTCTGTCAAATATTTTACATGTCAGAAACCAGGGTACATCGGTGGTTATTCCCAACGGAACTGCAACTGTGGTGTTATTTTTGTCTTTGTACCAGATAATCGTATTGACAAAACTTGCTATAGGACAGTCTGTATTCAAGCATGTCAGTGAGAGCCTTGATAATGACCCAGGAATGCCTTAACAACGACCAATTTGGAAAACATACCCCGGTGCATTACACGATGATGGCTGATCGATGATGTACCACTCGACGCATTGAGATCAGAAACGTGCCAGATTTCTAACGTCCTGTGTATGCAGTTTTGAGCAGATTTGGATGATTTTGCTGCCCGATTTATAATCATGGCTGAGACCCGTTTCTAAAAATGAAAGAGGAGCTCATAGTCATGGTAATGATAACACGATTTCCGCTGTGAATGAACTTTTTACATGGCTGATAAATAATTTCTTCTTGACTGGTATCCAGACCTTGCAGCATGTCAGATAAAAGTGTGTAAAACCGGTACGCAGAGAAATAAATCAAAACCATCGACTTAGTATGGTTCTTTCACATTTCATCCAGATCCTCTATAGTGCATTCAGATGTAACGATAATTTTATTATCATGGCCTTCCACGACTAGCTAATCATGATATTCAACCGAAATGAAGTAACATTCGAATGGGAATTCTAAGTTGACTGAAATAGATTGACACCTATTGCATTGACTTGACCCTTTTCGGGTATAATTTGAAAATATTGAAATAACTATAACCGAAACGATCAATGATGTTATACTTGTACCGTTAATATGGTCGAGATATTGGTAGTATCTAAAGCATGCGATAGCCTTTCGAAATCTAATTATAAGCCACGCGGGCTCTTCTTCGTTGAGCGCACCTTGCTAATTGCATTATTTTGTTTTTAATTTCATCTGTTGCCATTCACATTCGAAATCGGCAATGAAAACAAAAGTTCAAAATATGTTGTGCCAGAAAAATACCGTGTAATTTAAATGTGATGAAAAGACGAGTTATTAATAATATTTCTAGCTAATATACCATCAATAATCATTTGACCTGGGCAGACAATTCGATTATTTCCCTTAGACTAAACATAATAATGTCCAATTTAATTAGAACTGAACATAATATTTAATCGTATTAGAAGTAATTATGTTTTTAAATTATTTATTGACTCTAAAAGGACATTATGGAAGCGAAGTTGGTTTTAATTATTGAAATGTGTCTTATAGGTCAAAGGCTGATGTATTAGCTAGAAAATGATTGACACTTACCATTGAAGGACGTACTATTACAGTTGTATTTTCTGTCGTATTTATTTATACCTATAAACTCTATATTATGCTCTTAGTGTGTTACTTCAGTTGTTAATTGAAGAATTTGGCGAATGCTGGATTATATAGCTCATTGTAGGACGCTGTATCTATAATCAAATACAGACCGAACATTTGGCTGTAAATCTTTTTGTGGCTACCCAGCATAGTAATTAAAACTATAGCCAAATACCTCTAATTAACAACCGACCTTAATTAGCGCTACTACCCTGTCTTTCCTTTCAAGGTTAAACGACAAAACAAGAGTTAATCTACTACAATACCATAAATAACACAAGATATATGGATATACTACTTCTGAGTTTATTACATACTACTTTTCTAAACACATACCGGTAACGTTGTCAAGTAAATAATGATTAACCAACTACAACACAGATATATAAGTAATAGAGTAAGAGAAAGCATAAAGGGTATAACAATATCAAAAATTATTAAACAGATGATTAACAATAGATTAAAGGTTTACAGGTTAACAAAGGATTATGCACAGATAAAAAATAATGAGATAGGAAGATAGAGGGTTTTAAAGAAACCATTTAAAGAGCAAAGATAATTAAGTGTTATATTTTGAATAATTGTGTCCATAAGTTGGGTCAGAAAAACCACTGTCTTTGTTTAATTGAGGCCCGTGTTTCTGAATTTCTAAAGCCTCCCTAGTACACGTGGTTTCCATTCTGTAAGGTTACAGGCTAGTATTTCTGTCTCGTCCCACTAGATTCTATGATCTGGTTTCATGGTTATGTGTTCGGCAATTGCTTATTTGTTGGTATCTTCTTTCTTGACTGCTGTTTTATGCTCTTGAGTAGTCCTATGTACGGGGTGGTGATTCTGATGGGGTTACCTTTTCTTATTGCTGACGGGGGTTTGCAGGTTGGTGTTAGGGTCTTCTTAATGGTCTGGTTCACTGTCTTGGTTATTCTTCGAATAGGTCTTCTTCACACAAGAGATTGGCACGTCTGGCTAGGGTGGATGTGATGCCTTTCTTTACTCTAGTAGGGTGGCAGGAGCTGTTGTGGACATATTAGTCCGTGTGTGTGGGTTTGCTATATACAGAAGTTCGGATTGTGTCGGATGACCTGTCTACTAATACATCAAGGAATGGAATTTGTAACTTCTCAGATTCAAACTCTACTGTGAATTTCATACGTGGGTGCATGGAGTTAAGGTGGTTGAGCAATCGGTGGGGGTCGTCCTTGGGGTTCAACATTAAAAAAGTGTCATCCACTTTTCTTGTCCAGCAGATCGATTGGAAGGGTGCAGACTGAAGCGCGTTATCTTCAAAATGGGTCACGTAAAATTCAGTTAGTAACGGTCTGATCGGTAATCCCATTGGGAGTCCATGGATTTGTTCGTAAGTGTCCGATTTCCAGGTGAGTCAATGCACATTTCTATCAGTTTGATGATGCTGTCCAGTTGTAGGCTAGTGGGAAGATCTTTAAGGATAGGTTGTAAGTCTTGATGTAAGTATTAGATAGCTTCTTTACGCGGAACATTTGTAAACAAGTCAACAACATCATAGCTCACTAGTTTACCAATTTTGTCGTTAGATTTAATTTTGGCACAAAAGTCGGCGGAATCTTTAATGTAGGATTTAGCACATTTACTGAGTGGAGATAACAAGTTTGCAAGGTGTTTAGCGGTGTCAGCTAGGGTACAGAGGAGGCTCTTGCCCCCTAGAAAACTGTTCCTCTGGAGCACACAAGTAATCTAACTTTAATAGGGATAAGTTTTCATATTCCCTATTAATCATTTGCAGAACAAGGACCATTAAACACCATCCTCCAAGGAACACTTCTTACAAATTTACTAACTTACTAACTTCTTAAACTAAGTAACTTGATATATATGTTAGTTGAGTCAGATACGATTAAAATATGCGCGTACACTATCTACCCGGCCATAGCTCTTTGCATCTCAGAAAATCTGCTAGACCGTCAAAGCATATGTGAAACAATTGTTCATGAACATCCTGTAAAAGAGTTCTATTATAGTTATTTCTATTTAAAGCCTATTTTTGTTACGCCGACCGAATAATGAGATTAGCTTACTTTCTAATTAATTCGTGTTTCGTGTTAAACATTTCATTCACTAAATAGGTTTTCAGAAATTTTGACTCACCAACTTCAGTCACTTTACAGTCTATACGCAGTGACTGTTTCTATAACTCATTGGGTAGAGGGGATAAGTATGGACGACAGAATTGTCAAAGTATGGGTAGGTGGACAACACCAAGCATTTAATAACTCCATGATAACAAATTTCAAATTGGGGTGCCAAAATCAGGCAGGTGCGTCAGAGCCTATGCTCTGAAAATATACTTAGCTTGAAATAACTGTAACGCCACATGATTCCGAAAAAAGAGTTTTATCTAAAAGTAGTATTATTTGTATTGACAAGTTCGTGGAAATATGATGTTCAAGACGCCAAAAGCTTCAATAATTAACCCAATTTTATATAACCGACATCGTACTGTAATCGAACACGGTCTTACATCGAAGGTAAAAAAGAATGGATACAAGAACACAAGAAAAGTACAAAATATATATATATTAGACCAAATAAAATCAATGTGTAGGCATCCTCATAAATGTGTGTTGTAGTATTTATTTCATTTTTATAGGGTGGGGGAGGGGGTTGGCGGTAGATATTGTTGTATATTATGTTGTTGTTGTTCTCCTGTGTCTAATATTGTAGAAAGCGAGATATGAGTTTGTCGAGCACATAGTTGTTTGGTATACGATTTGGTATGCAATTTTTTCTCCGACATGCAAATTGAAACTGTCATATTCCTCTGGTTCCCAGACTGTGGTGCTTGTATCGCTCCGGATACCAACGAACACGAGATGGAAACTCTTTAAGCCTCATTGACAATTTTCTACTTTATTGAGTATTCCTATGTCTACTTCAAAGAAATTTTCTATCATTATTTCGCTCAAGATACCAGCGAAGTGATAACAGCAGATGTGTTATCAAGTAAGGGTAACGAAGAGTTCCAAAATCTGAGGCCTTTTTCTATCTCTATGAATTCGTACTCACTCAAACTAATCACAGATTGGATAATGTCTATGCGAAAAGGATGAAGAATATTATGTAGTATAC